TTATGAAGCTCAAGTGGACTTTCATGGAGTCCATAAGGTTACTGAAACTACCTGTTTTACAGGGAGATATCTTGCTGAAAGGTTATTAGCCAAATTCAAAAGATCTAGAAAAAAAAAAAAAAAAAAATGGATACTTGAAATCTTTTGTGAACCTGCCTTATAGCCCAGATATTTAAATTAAAACAGTATCTAAAGGTTTGTAATAGCATGATTAAATAAAAGAGCAAAAAAAAAAAAAAAAAAAAAAAAAAAAATGCAATTTGCTTTATTATATAAGAAATAAGATAACGCCATCAAACCTTATCCTACATCAAGATACAGCTATACATCATAGAGTGAGTTTTCAATTAGTATTATTGAATCCAGGACACTTAAAAGCCAGATGTTTCTGCTAATATCAATTCTGAACTAAGGGAGGAGAGATTGTAATGCCCCACCACATGATTTCTAGAGAAATTTAAAGCTCACTATTTTATTCCTAGTACTTGGCACTCTCCTGGGCCATAAACTTTAGCAATAACAATGAGGATCCCAAGGGTCGTTAATGCCAAATGCAAATAGCTGGAGGAATGGCCAACAAAGGTCATGAAAGGTCAGAAAGTAAAAATGTGAAGTATTTAAAGGGGGAAAAAAAAAAAAAAAGAAAATGACATTCCTATGATAAAAATAAAAATGTCAATAAGATGGCAGTACCAATCCATCTACCAGAGAAAACATTTAAGGCAGGGCAAGATATAATTAGTCTTACACTTTATTATAAAGTAGTATGTAATAGAAAAGAGAAAAGTGAAACAATATGGCACTTTGTCTGACAGGAGGCCAGAGAAGCAATATATTCAAATATAAATTGATGAGACAATTAGAGTGCATGTCTAAACTTGGTGCCCAAATCATTGTTGATCAAGGTTACCTTTTTGGTTCAAGGAGGAAACCTGGGTCAATGAGAGAAGCAGAGAAAACAAAGCTGGACATTAATTGCCAAAGAGAGAGAAAGAAAGAATGCTACCATTGTTATTGGGAATAAACAACACAAAATAATGTCACCTCAATGACAGGGAACTGTTTTGTTTTCTTTTTAGTAGGAGACTGTTAGCAATAGTAATGTTTGGTAGGCAGTACAAATTAAACCTGTTCATTATGAAAATGACTTAAATGTATACATTAACAGTTTTGAGATCTTGTTATCGAGTCTCACTAATCTGGAAGTCGAGTTATGGCTTAAGATAATACTTAGGCTGTAAGCTATGATTTACTTGCACAATATTCATTTTACTTTCACTCCATGCAAGGTCAGGATTCCATTTAAATTTCTGAAGATCAAAGTTGACTGGAAAGCAAGAAGCTAGAAAAGTGTTTTACAAGTGAAAAGTGTGAGAGAAGAAATTGTTAGTGTTAGTATAGAAGATACAGTTTCATCTAGCCATTTCAACGTTAAAAATTATGAAACCTTGTCACCAATCTAGAATTCATGAAGTTTAGGTACCATAGAAGAAATTTCAGAACAATTACCATGAAAATATTTATACAAGAGGCACAGAGAAGCTATGTTATGGCAGAGGGAAACAAACTGAAATGTCAGATCAGATTGTTGTATTTTATCAAGAATCTCTAAGTACACAGAGATAGATGTAACAGCCATATTCAATCAATATAATCTCTCCATTTTAAGTTAGAGGAAAAAGTTTACCTGAGAGAGTGCAATGAGTCACTCTCCTGCTAATGTGGTTAGTAATTATTTTAAACACGTCAAAATGTAACATTGTATATGTTGTATCAACTCAAAATAGAAATAAAATTTACATGCAACTACATCTTGTAAACGATTGAGGATTTCAGTTACTGCTTGCAGTTTAACTGTTTATATTTTAAAGAATCAAGCATCCAATGCAAAAATTGGACACCAAGGGAGAAGTAAATAAAAATGCAAACACAGACTCATTTAACAACTGTATGATGCTCAAATCTAGAAATCATTTCTCAAGCCAGGGATCTGCATTGATTATTCTGTGGACTGGAATGACTAATGTTTTTATTAATAGAAAACTAAAAAGTTGGCAATATTTAACATTGGTGACTGATAAAAAAAGTCAAAAAGACTTATTCTCTTGATACCAATATTACTGTGTACGCTTTTGACTTCCTTGGCAATGTTTATTTACATGATTATAAAAAATATGTGAACCAAGTACAACATGATACTTATTTTAAAAACAAATAAATTTGAAAAATCTTTTTTTTTTCAAAAACTTAAAAAAATTGTAAAATTATCAAAATATGTGAATTGTCCACAATGCAATATTATTTACCATTTTATGAATGGTATTTTAATGAATTATTTAAATTTGTGTTCACATATTTTAGAAATTTATGAATAAAAAAAATGTTCATATTTATTTCTTTATAAAATGGTAAATAAAAAATATTTCAGTATAGTTGGTTTATAGATTTTCATAATCTTGAAAACATAAAATTATTCTCATAAATAAAGTATTCTAATAAAAAGTATTTAACATCTTTGTTGTCAATTCTTAAGAATAAAGAAAATGTATAAATTCACTTTCATATGTTTGGGTTTTATTAAAATTCTAATCATTGCATAATCAAGAAAAGGAAAAGAGTTTACAGTAATAGCAGTGTCAAGAGAATAACTGTCTTTTTGACACTCCATTATATTTTTTTGCAGGCCTTTTACATAAAAATACAACACTAAGCATTCATATTAAAATACCTTTAAGCTGTAAAAGCCATATTTACTACTCAATGCTTGTGAGATAATCTGCATTTCAAATTTTCAACTGGCAAAACAAATGCCCTTGTTGCTATTTCTGGGCTTTCAGCCTCTTTCCTTGAAAGCGACCAATGATGGCTAGTGATCTTTAAATCTAATTTTGGCAAATTCAGCACCAGGAGAAACTGGCCAAAGGCTCAGCTGACCTTTACTTGCTTGTTAACTGAATGCACCACCATTACACCAGAATTGCCTATTTATTCATTCTTGCAATTGGGGAAGAGTAAAAAGGTGTGGAGGAAAGAAAGAACATTAAAAAAAGAAAAGGAAATAGGCTAGCTGCCCTGTGTTTTAGGGCCCCCTTTAACCTCGGAATGATTCACATCTAAATAACAAATGATATATAAGTAAATGGAGCCCGAGGAGAAAGGAGTAGAGCCAGAGGAGAAAAAAGAAGAAAAAGACCCCCAATTAGCCTCCTGATTGACTACATATTTGGTCACATGACTTTTGTTCTTATTGTTAGAATCTTTTCCTTCCTAACTGATCCCGCCAATTTTGCAAGTGGTTGACTTTTTTAATAAATTTAATACGTTTTAAATATTGCTTTGTAGATGTCTATTTAAGCGCACATTATTTGTTAGAGAATCAAAAGGTAAGGTCATGTGACCCTAACCGAGATACAGAGAAAGTAGTAAAGATACTTCTGACTGCCATTTTCATCTAAACAACTCTAGAAGCTTCTCTTTGAATCAATAAACATCAAAGTAATTATCTCACCTGAAACACTTTAAAGTTGAAATAATCTGTTTTTGTACAGTACTGGAATCTGTTAGCGCATAGGAGATTATTGAAATGGATGCAAATCCAAGTTTCGAAGAAAAGCCATCAAAATTATTGGAAAAAAGAGGAAATAACTTAAGCAATTGATAAAAAAAAAAAAAAAATATCCAAGTGAGGGAGGAACAGATTTCTAGTATTTCAAAAAAAAAAAAAAAATAAAAAAAAAATAAATAAATAAAAATAAAAGTAATAATATCATTAATAACTTTGGGAATTGTGTCATTTTGAGAGAGAAATGCTACCTTGATGAAGTAAAGTAAGTTTCATTTTTAGTCAAGATCAACAGTATTTTTAGTTTATCAAACAGTACTGAGTAACCTGCAGTTGCAACAGATTTTAAAGTCGCTAAAATAATCACCAGATTTAAAAACACAAACTGAATTAAAAAAAACATAATACAAAGAAAATAATTTACTTTTTTAGCACTAGAGGTAAATATTCATAAGTAAAATGTTTTCAAACAAAAGCAAAGCAATTTGTTCCAAATGATTGGGCTTCTGACACTACTTTGGTTGAAACCGCTATTAAAAGGAAAGCAAATTTTATAGTCTTTCTCAATAGTTTACCCTTTCAGAGAAGAAATCATTTGTTCTATTTTCTCTAATGAATTTGATGCTGAGAACATCAACTGAAATAGTTTCAAGAAGAAAAAAAAATGAGAGAGAGAGAGAGAAATAGGGGAGAAAGAGAGAAAGAAAGAGAGAAAAGCCTATTTAACATTCCCAACCTTTCAAAGGTATAATATTACCTCGAAACTTCAATGTGTGTGAGATATCTTTGTATTTGTACTTAGAATCTTTAAAAAATGGTGTGGGTCTAGAACATTCCCCATATTCATGGATATAAAATATGATTTCAAAAACAAGATGTATGTAGGTAGAAAGAGATTGAGGTCAGAATGTGCTTATATTATTTGAATTAAAAAAAACAAGAAAAAAAAAAGAAAACCACAAAGGAGGGGGCGTCAGTATTTGTTTTCCACCCTGATCATTTAGGTCAAGTAGATATCTGCAAAGAAGACTAGGCCACTGGTTGAATACAATAAAACTTTGCCTTATACCAGAAACAATCTAACACCTGCTGTATAAGGAGGTATAAAATATTTTTATGGAGGAAAAAAAGAAAAGAAAAGAATTTATAATCTGGGGTAGGCATTGGTTTATGTTTGCAGACATGCAGCTTAGATAATGAGAGCCGAGAATTTAAAAAGGGGAAGTAATTTATATTATATGCCTAATGTCAGTAAAAGCAACCAGCATTGGAGAGAGGAGAAAGAGAGGAGAGAGTAAAGTGGATAAAGGAATGTTTTTTTTTTTCCCTATAATCATGAAAAGAGCATAGTTTTCTCTTCTCAAAACTTTTTAAACTCGTGAATGAAAGTGAAATGAAGGTTAAAGGATTTAAATTTTTCTGTCAGTTTTTGGTCAAAAAAACTTAAATGAACCCTTAGACAACATTTATGAATTATGTTTTCTGGGTGTCAAAAGCTAAATTGAAAGTAAAAAAAAAAAAAAAAAAAAAGTGAAGTTAAGCACATAATATTTTTTATATAGAAAATGGATTTAAAAAACAACTCAAAGTATAAAAGTTACTCTAACCTTGAAAATTAATGAGGACAAAATGATTTACCTGTGATTTTTATAAAAATTACAGTAAAATTTAACTAATTTAAAATTTGTTTATATTTTAGCTTTTTTCATTTTTGCGATAATCTGTACGACTTGCATTAGGAAAAAAAGCTTAAAGATTGAATAGATGAAAATATTTCCAAAACATTTTAAATGGTGCTGATGCTTTTATCCTTAAATATACCACCACCCATATATATATATATATATATATATATATATATATATATATATATATATATATATATATATATATGTTTTTGTGTGTAACAATTCAGGGGTAGTATGCAAAATTTTGATACGAGATGCACAGAAGTCATGACCCCATTCATGTCCACATGCAAAAAGCTACCAAGCTAATAAACTACAAAGCAACCTCCTTCTTTCCCTCTCTCTGCAAACTATGATCAAAATGAAAGGAGTGATGGAAAGTAGACACAAAAAGAAACAGATACACAACTGCAAAGAAAGAATGAAAGAAACAGAGAGAGGGGAGAATAGAAAGGGATAGAGAGAGGGGAGAATAGAAAGGGATAGAGAGAGGGGAGAATAGAAAGGGATAGAGAGAGGGGAGAATAGAAAGGGATAGAGAGAGGGGAGAATAGAAAGGGATAGAGAGAGGGAGAATAGGGATAGAGAATAGAAAGGAAGGGATAGAGAGAGGGAGAATAGAAAGGGATAGAGAGAGGGGAGGGAAAAGAATAGAGAGGGGGATAGAAAGGGAGAGAGGGAGAATAGAAAGGAAAGGGATAGAGAGAGGGAGAATAGAAAGGGATAGAGATAGGGGGAGAATAGAAAAGGGATAGAGGGGAGAATAGAAAGGGAGAGAGAGGGGAGAAAGGATAGGGGAGAGGGAGAATAGAAAGGGATAGAGAGAGGGGAGAATAGAAAGGGATAGAGAGAGGGGAGAATAGAAAGGGATAGAGAGAGGGGAGAATAGAAAGGGATAGAGAGAGGAGATAAATATATGTCAGACAAAACTTGGCCAAATTATAAAGTTACTTTCTTTGAGGTGTCTTGGATTGTGGATTGACTATCACTAGCAATGATTATGTTCTAATTTCTCAGCAAATTTGAATCTCAAGAACACCCAACGAGTGTCACAAAAGCATGCATACACAATGAGCATAAGATACAGATCTTTCCTGAGGTGTTTATAAGTTATACTTTGTTCAATTATTAACGTTAACAATGAACTATTTTAAATTACAAAATTGTACTTTGATTAAAGAAAAATTACTTACAATACATATGTATAATACATTTCTTCTTGCCACCAATTTTGATAGCACAAGTATACTAGTTTATGACAAGACTAACATTTTAATGGGTTTTTTATTATTATTATGACACTAACATTTTAATGGTTATTATTATTATTATTATTATGACACTAACATTTTAATGGTTTTTATTATTATTATTATGACACTAACATTTTAATGGTTTTTATTATTATTATTATGACACTAACATTTTAATGGTTTTTATTATTATTATTATGACACTAACATTTTAATGGTTTTTTATTATTATTATGACACTAACATTTTAATGGTTTTTATTATTATTATTATGACACTAACATTTTAATGGTTTTATTATTATTATTATGACACTAACATTTTAATGGTTTTTATTATTTTTAATGACACTAACATTTTAATGGTTTTTATTATTATTATGACACTAACATTTTAATGGTTTTATTATTATTATGACACTAACATTTTAATGGTTTTTTATTATTATTATGACACTAACATTTTAATGGGTTTTTTTTTTTTATTATGACACTAATACCACAAAAAAAAAAAAAAAAAAAAAAAAAACTCAGGCCCAAAGATGCATGACAGATCTACTTGTACAACCCTTAAAACAAAATCCGGTCTTACCAGTGGAGGCTGTCAGTGTGTGAAAAAGTTTAAGAAATGTCATGCTGATGTCATTTTTAATCATGTTCATTTTGTCCAGCATGAGTACACACTTTCAGGTCAGACAACACCCACATACTTTGTAGGGTTGAGGGAGGCACTCAGAAAATAGATACAGCTACAGGCAAGTGGTGATTGACAATGCTGTCATGACAATGCACTTGTCTGTCCTTCATGTGTGTTGTGTTTTGGCAACATATTACATAACACGGGTCTGTCTTTTGATAATTTGGATTTGACACCTAATGGCTTTTGGCTTTTTTCCAAAGCTCAAAAAAATGACTTGAAAGTGATTTCACTTCATGGACGAGATTAAGGAGATTGCATTTAGGCAGCTGATGGCGATCATGAAAGTGGACCTCACAGTTTTGGAGAGTGCAAGGGCACTGGGATAAGTGTGTGAAATCCCAAGGGGTATACTCTTACGAGGACAAAGATGTCATTGCATTGAGTAGGCTTTTTTTTTTTTAAATATTAAATAGCCAGATAATTTCCGATTTGCAAAAGAATAGGACATTTTATTACCAAAACATCTTAAGCCATTAAGTGCAGTCACAAGGACCAAATAACAAATTAACTTATGTGCAATATTTAATAACTTTTCCTAGCTATTCAGAGAGAATTTTCAGCAACCTCACCACAAGAAGTACAGTTTCAAACTATTTCTTATCTTTACTTACCATATTGACAATCAAGTGGATACTATCTATATACACATTTCTGAAATACTTGCCTAAGGGTCAAGCACTCAAATTACACTTCTGAGCACAAGACATACCACAAGGATATTGTAGATTTTATAAAGAGCTCTTAATTCAACTAATTTTCATTCAAAATGGAGTGGTGATAACAGTTGAAACAAAACCTCAAATCTCATCGGCCTACTTGCTAAAGGGCAAATGCAGATCTATTACTCTTTGTAGTTATTGCAATAGTTAATGCTTATAAATCAATCAACTCAAGATTCCCGCTCATGTGCAAGGAGGATTTTCTCATATAGCAAACAATTTCAGACACTTAACCTATTTGAGCTCCAAACAATGAAGCTATATCAAAGATTTTGAGAGGGAACATCAAAACAACAGCGCGTCATGTCAGAGAGACATTTTGATGCCGTAGCCTTTCCTGCTACACATGGGTACAGCCTAAAGTTGAGAATAATGTGTTCTCTATTGAGGATGTTTGTAGCCCAAGTAATTGACATTAATAACAATTTCTTGTCATTATTTTACCGTTAAGAAAATTGGACATTTTAAGCCTAAATAATCAAATAAAAACCTGAAGCCAGCCCATTTTGAAAGGAGTGGTGTTACTTTGTCTTCTTTGTAGGCGGCAGATTCTTAATTGCATGAGAGATTGAAATCAGTACAATGTATTTTCTGTGGCATACGTTCATAACTATCCACCCAGAAAAGGGTCTTATAATATTCTTGGCACACAAGATAACAAACAGCCAACTGAACAGTCTAGGAATACATGTCACAGTAAGAAAAGGTGGGCTTCAAAATGACGCTAAAAAACATCTTTCAAGGAATAGAAAACAAAGACCGGAAAATGACAAAAAGTCATCATTAACAGAAGCAGACCAGAATAATTTGATTACTCCATCTGGGATCAAGTGCAATTTTTTAAAAATAAATCAAATTAATTTTTATATTCTTTCAAGAGTGGGGAGCAAACCAAGAAAAGATTAAAAAGAATCACAACCATCAATTTTAAAGCCATGCACTGGAGACAGTTAAAAGATCTGTCATTAAGTGATGTTTGTGAATCACCACTCACAGAAGAATTTTCTGAAAATGAACTTTGGGAACAATTATTAAATGGTACGAATCTCGACTTGCCAGATTTGCCCTCACATTCTCAAGGCGTGGAACGGGCAGTCAAGTTAACAACAGAAGCTTCTCAATCTGTGTATGGCTTTGAAGCAAGGCACCAGCACATAATATCAAAAGCTTTGTGTCAGAAATTGAGACCATCAATTTCATCTGAGGGTTCTTATATGGAGCTATTTGACTGTATATTAAGCCCTATTAAACTATTCTTTATTTTTCAATATTTGTTTGTTTGTTGTATTTTCATTCAAAATAAAAAAAAAAAAAAAAAAAAAAAAAATCAATTTTTTAATGTAGTCAACTAATACTGCTTAATTCATGAGGCAAAAAACAGCATTTCAAAATCGTCAGTGATAATGAGGGAGCAAATTTTCAGTTTTAAGTTTACTTATAATTTCTACATTTTATTTCATTTTGATAAAACAAAATAACATTCCCTGATTTAAATAGTGAAATTGTTTGTTTTTTTAACAATATTTAGTAAAATCGTGGATTTTTCAGTGCATTTTTGTCTACAATCTTTGATACCAAATGCTCAAAAAACCGTTGAAGTGACAGATCTAATTTTTTGTATCAGTATTTAATTGTCTATACACAACTTTTGGTACATTATTCTTTTTGATATTTTAAAAAAAGTCAAAAATCGACCTACCCTTATATATATATATATATATATATATATATATATATATATATAAAATAGTTTGCTCAGTATTATTTTGATACTAAAAAGAGTGCTCAATACATATTTTATGTTATAAATTTTTTTTTTTTATAAATATTTATATATATATATATATATATATATATATATATTTTTAAAAAAAATTATAACATAAGTATGTTATAAAACTACAAAAATAGCCATTTTGTTTCAACACACTGTGTCTTATCAAGTGATGATGTTGAAAAAAAAAATATATAATATATATATATATATATATATATATATATATATATATATATATACACACAAGACAGTGGAACGAAATCAGTCAACAGCCCATATCTTTTGAAAGAAGTTTTAAAAAGGGAGCCAATCAGCAGTTTTTACCAGATTTAAAAAAAAAAAATCTTAACCTTTTTGGGGATTTTGAGAAAATTCTTTATATAATTTCTCCAAGATTTTTTTTCCCTTCCTTTATCAATTATAAGTGCATGGATTTTCTCATAGCTTAAGAGTAGAGATTCAAATCCTGCAGTTAATTACTAAATTTATCTACAGCTGTTCAACGCAATTTAATAGCTTTTCCTATGATGATCATCAAACCTGAATCTATTACATTTATTTGAAACGGAGCTTTTTGGCACACATTCGCCAGCTACAGAAATTAATGTTTGTGAAAAATGATTTAGCGGTACCTTTGAGTTAGCATTTTGTATCTTTAATTTCTTTTTGGCACGAGGTTCTAAATTTGTCCCAGTTTGCTTCACTCGATTTGTAGCAAATTAGTTTTTTATGATTAAGTTCCAAATTCTCTTGGATTACTGGAAAGTGATCCCTACCATATGAATAGTCATAGATTTTCCATCTGTGATCCAGAAAGATCCCAAAGAGAAATTATTAGCTAAGTAAATAACAGAATTTTTGCTTGAATTTCAGGGATGAGGAGTTATTATTTACACTATTTATATTCAGACTATTGTCCTTATTTTTTTTGTTGTTATTACAATGTTTCAGCCAATGTGCCCTCCAGCCTTCATCAGGTTTATATTGATTTGGGCAACCTACAGGGAATTCTGAATTGAACCTTTTATTAAATCTACAAGTGTTAACTGATTTCGTTCCACTGTTTTCTGTCTTGTGTGTGTGTGTGTGTGTGTGTATATATATATATATATATATATATATATATATATATATGACATGCTATAGAATTTAGCTAGAGGAAATGTCTGGTTAGCAAAGTCAAATTACTGTTTTTAAACAAATTTTCCATGATTTTTCTCGAACAATCAGCATGAAGTGTATCTTAACGTAAACAAATGACATCATAAATTATGAAATGGACTAAGTCTGACAATTATTTTAATATATTTTCTGTTTATATGTTAATTTTCTAGATACAAATATACAAGTAAATGTTCTGTTTATAATAAACAGTATTAACATTTACCAGCCTAAATGTCAGAAATTTCATAGAAAATGTGTCCTTCGACAGGAATTGAACCTGTATCCTACACAGAATTGTCAAAGCCTGATGTGCTATACCATTTAGCTACAGAGGAAACATCTGGTTAGCAAAATCAAATTACTCAATTTACTTAAATATTTGTATGTATAAAAATAATGTATAAACAGAAAATATATTAAAATAATTGTTAGACTTAATCCATTTCATAATATATTATGTCATTTGTTTATGTTAAGATACACTTCAAGCAGATATGAGCTTTCAAGAAAAGTCACGGGAAATTTGTTGTTTAAAAACAGTAATTTGACTTTGATAACCAGACACTTCTTCTGTAGCTAAATATACATGTATTTTTTTTCTATTGTCAAGACACTGAACAGTGGATTTTTGGCAAGAGGTTATAAACAAAGAAGAAATATTAACAAATATGTATTAAATTATTAAAAAAAACAAAACAAAAAATAAACAAATTTATATAACCTAATATTCACATCCCACATATCTAAATTTGCATTATGCCATTTAAAAAATTGTCCTTTACTTTAAAAGGAGCTTTGATGACCGTGACAAACAAAATATTAATTTACAAATATGTAAAAGGATATATAGGAAACATTAAGTTTTTCATAGAGTTGTTTAAATAAAAAATAAAAATTGATGCTTTTGCACACTCCCAAAAAATTAAAAACACCGTATATACATTTCCTGCAAATTAAAATTTGCATTATGATATTTAAATTGAACATATGGAACCTATTAAATTTTCAATCAGGAACATCAGTATGAATAAAGGTGTTTTCAATTGGAGCCAAATTCAAGAATCAATAACATTAATATAACAGTGGCAATTTGATGCCAAAAATAATAAAATTTTTGCATATCCATCATATTATTTTTCTCCTTGTAAACAAAGTTTTGTTGAGCCCCATTATGCACACAGGCCTATTCTAAACTGAATCCTTTAATATAGGAAAGTTAATGTAGTCTGTTCTTTCCCTGCCCATGTCTAGTTTTTATTTTTAGTACTGCTCAGTTATTGCTTGCCCTGTTTCCACAGAATCCAAGTACACAATGCATATCCAGGGATTGAACCCACAATCACCAGGTCTCCAAAATTCACAAACCAACACTTTGGTCCATTAGGCTATTGTCCTATGGCTAGGAGGAAAACAATAACTCCTCATCCCAGAAATTCAGACAGAAAGTTAATGCTTGTTTGGAGAGCTTTTCCGCAAGAAGATACCCCCTGTAAAGAACCCGTATTTCTGTTTCCCTTCTCCAGTCTCTACATGCTGTTTGAATCAGCCAAATGATTTCTATTGCACTTAATACATCCCAATCGCTGTTTCACAGTTGGATGCCAAATGGTCCGAGCCATCCTAGCTGCACTTTTTGCACATCGTGCTCTTAGTGAATCAATCTTTACGTTGTCCAAATATTTGGCAGTTAAAACTGCAAAGTGCATTAGCAATGTCGATATCTCTTTCCGACTTGAAAGAAAACAATTTTTAGTCTGGATGGGAGTTTTGGTGCGTTAAATGAACAAAATATTAACGATTTACTCATTTTCTTTCTCTTTCAGATTGGTTTTGGTTTTGTCCAAGGGAGAGTAACAGACTGCTCCTCAATATATTTTTAGACGAATGTAAAGATTGATAAGCAAAGAAGATTTTCATCTTGAGGTCAAGAATTTTTAAGATGCATTAGAGTTTTTCAGAAAAGAAAACAAAAAAAAGGATTTAAAATTTTAAAAAAAATCAGTTAATTATCAGAGTTGAATAAAAGGAAATGATCTCCGAGACCGTCAAGAGTTTATTTACAAAAAAAAAAAAAAAAAAAAAAAAAAAGAAAAGAATACTGGAAGAAAAGTTCGCAAAAAATACTGTGTTTTTTTTTTTAAAAAGGGCTATTGGAATCTTCTTGCTTGACCCGCTTCCCAATTATCAGAAGCTTTTTTTTTTGTAAGGACATATTGGTTGAACTGAGAACTTTTCAACGTCCACTCCCTGCATGTGATCTCAAAATATCTAAAAATAACTAAAAATAATTACATTCGTAGAAGCCCTTGGAGAAATTAAATCAGCTGAAATCTCATTTAAAACTTCAACTGGTGACACAGAAAATCATCCATACTTCAACTGTCCCAGGAGATGTTTAAGATAAGCAGACATTAAAAAATCAGGGCATAAGCCAAGCCATTTTCGATAAAAACCCCAAAAAACTTTGTACTTTTTTTTGCCATCTGAACCAACATTTAAACTTAAAATATATTTAAATTACGGCAATGTTAATAAAAAATAAATAGTTTAACAAATAGTACTTAATATACTGACAAAAAGTGAAATTCTGATACTGAATACATGTTCTTATTTATTCCAGATTAAATGTACAGATAATCCATAGTTGGATTACAGTAAATAATCCCATATATAGCTCAAATTCCAAAATAACAGATCCCATATTTATACACTGTAAATCTTCTCAGGCATGAACACAAGCCCTGGACTATCCTATGCACATGACGATACAGATGGTGAAAACCATCCAACAATTCTATGTTTCTTGCAACTTTTGACACAATGCAGCTGGTTGTGAGTCAAGCATCATTCCATCACGTATTTTCAATGTGAGACAAATTTGGTGATGTCAGCATTATTTTTCTATATCATCCATCTCATTTCCAACTATTATTTTATACCCTTTAAGTAGATCTCGATATTCTAAGAGATTTTTCTCCTATACACAAATGAGACGTTTTAGAGATATTAATCTTGATAGGTTGGGACTAACGATGATTTCATATATGCGGTTAGGCTAGATTTGTTAAAATTTTGCCATTTCATTTTAATACTTCTTAATATTTTTTTTAATATTTTAAGGGTATAGAGTCAATAGGTTAGGCTTTTTAACTTGTTTTTCCTATGGTTTTTGATGTGTTTTGAATATAGGGTTATTTTGAAAAATATAGATATATTCCTTTTATTTATTGTTTAATTTTTTTTTTCTTTCATCTGGCTTGGTAGCATCTTAAATATAAGGTACTAATTATGTAAGTAGGTAGACAGTATATTTTAGCAGCATGTTTTCATCGAGACATGTTTCATTGAATAATTCAGACAAGTTTTGTCTATTTTCAATTGAATTGTTTCAGGTTATTCTGACTGGTAAAAAAAAACAAAAAAAACAAAAAAACTTTCAGATGAACACAGCAGCAATTTTGTCTTTGAAAATAATGAACACTACTATATTAATCTTAAAAGAAAAAAAACAACACCCTGATGATGACATTGTGCTAATGTCAAAAGTATTTGGAATAAATATGCATCAACATTGTAATTTTCTCTTCCTTTAATATAGACACCAAAAAGCTTGTCCATGAATAAGAAAGAATCCAATTGAAAACAAGTAGACAATGCATACAAGTGTATATATATATATATATATATATATATATATATATATATATATATATATATATATACACACACAAAATTATAAAGCAATAAACAAGTTATCCAATCTGGAGAAAGAAGTTCTTAGTTTTTGATTTTTCTTTGATAATAAACTAGCAAGTTTGGAGTGAATTGATTTCTGTTCTTTCAGATTTATTTCTGTGTCTGAATAGATAAAACCAATGTCAATTTAATCCTTCTAGTCATTCTCATTTGTAAATCATTTTAGAAAAAAAAAAAAAAAAAAAATGATCACAACAGACGACGACTCAATAATTTGCAGGAAAAAAAAAAAAAAAAAAAAATTCAAGAATCATAATTTTAAGAATTCATTCATTACCTAGACAAGTTGTGCAATAGAAAAAAATGTCCAGTTCAGCATTTCAAGCAATTTCTACTTATCAATCCAATTTATCTTCCTTACACTGAATGCAAATTTCTCAAACAAGGCTCAAATTTAGTGCCTTCCTTTCAATGTTAGAAACCATGCATTTAAAATTTTTCAGCTGTTTTCTTCATAAGTAAAAACTGCAATTCAACATTTGTAACCAAAAAGTCTTGACTAAGAAAGCCAAGTTTTCTGTGGTTCCTCAAGAACAAATTGAACCTTTTCTTCCATATTGAGCTTAATAGCAAAAAAAAAAAAAAAAAAAAAATATCATTTTAGGTAAAACTTATTTCGATGAATTATAATTTCTGATATATTTTTGTTTTATTTCTGGTACACAGGTTCTGGCACGTTCAATCATTTTAATTTTCTTTTCAAATTCTGAGAATTATTGAGGAAAAAAAAAAAATGAATTAACATCTAAATTTTTAAATATAAGAAAAATTAGTTGAAATAAATTATATTGCATTTCAGATAATTTTTTTTGCTCCAAAATGCAAAACATTTCAGTTCCTAAAAATATTAATGGGTTCATTTTTCTACAGCTTAATCTTTTTCAGGTTATTTAAAGACTGAAATAAGAGGTGGATTCCCAAGAGTATTGGCATGCAAGTGAAATAAACTTGTCTGAAATTGGAACTTGACTCTCCAATTTCCAACTGTTGTGCATTTTGCCACCCTCACATCCAAGAATACAGCATGTGGTATTCCCAAGTGGTTACCTATCTAACTACTGACCAGGCTCAATGTTGTTTAACATTGGTGATTGTATGAAAACCAGTGTTTCAAAGTGATATGTCCGTAAGCTATACTACGTATCCAAGCTTACAGCACCTGGTATTCCTAAGCAGTCACCCATCTAGTTACTGACCAGTCTCGATATTTCTTAACTTCGGTGATTGTAAGTCAGAGTGCCAAAACCTGAATAAATTTTTTAAAAATTACACGCAATAAAAGTGTAAATCAGCATTTGGTATGGAGGAATTATTTGAAACACTTAACTAGACAGTATCCCAACACATGTTAATAACTATGACATTTACGAACATCTTAACACTTTAGCATTCAAATTGCCCTGTAAATATCAGTTGTCAATGCTTAACTGCTCCATGTATAATATCACAAATAATGCAGGAAGTCTATTCAACTTACACAGCAAGACAATTCTGTGACAATTAGAAGTCCTACCAAGATTCCTTATTGGCAGCCACAATCTTAAAATAAGATATGTAGATGATAGTGTTGATAGCAGACACAGAAGGGAGTGAAGAAAGGAAGGACTAAAATTCAAGTACAAAAAGACAATGCACAATTATTAGTAAAACAAACATGCAAATTACAAATTTGAGGTACCAAAATCAAATAAGTACACAATTTAAATATCTGGGAATTGTTTTAATAGAGGACAGAAAGGGCAACACTGAAATCCAAAGGCATATTTGGATAGTGAAAAATGCCTCCCAAAGGCTAAGGAAAGCAATAAGAAAAATTTTATTAGAAACAAAGAAAAAGTATAATGAACTGTTATGTAATATCATTCCTCCTATATGGCAGTGAAGGATAGACAATCTCCTCACAGATGAAGAAGAGACTTGAAGCAAGAGAAATGTGTTTCTATAGAAGGATGCTGAGAATACCATAGATCAAACTTATGAGCAACAACTAAATTAGAGAAAATGGAAACAGAAAGAATACTTAGAATTAGAAAGAGGCAGTTGAAATTTCTAGGGGTCATAAGGAAAGAGGGCATGGAAAATTTGATACTCACAAGACAGATTAAAGGCAAGATGGACAAAGGAAAACACAAATTATCTAGTGAGCTTGAGTAAAGGGAAGGTGGAACAAGGTTTAAGAGAGATAACAAAAAGATTATTAAAAAGCTACAAAGGACAGGAAATTGAGGTGAGCCAGGATCATTAACATATCTAAACAATCAGTTAGCCCCCTCATTTCTGATAACAAAAGCTTTTCTTTATCTAATCCTTTCTACTTCACATAAATGATCTGCCAAAAAGTATACCCAATGATTTATGCATATCTATACAAGGAGGAATCATGGAGTAATGGATAGCAGCTTGGATCGAGGAATGGGAGAGCTGAGTTTGAATTCCAGTCAAATCCATTACATTCACTTATATGCTAATACCCTTGGGAAAGGTATGAATACTCTTCTGAAGCTATAGGTAAATAGCAAGACAGACTGGGTTCTATAGCCTTCAATGGTAACTGGCCTACCACAGAAAGTAATGGCAACCTACTGCAGGGAAAAAAAAATCTGTCTCATCAGTCTTGTATTAAAAGATACAGGATCACCTAAGCGTGTATCACACATGGCACATAACTGATGCTGATATACAAGTATATGGGTGCAATTTCAACACTCTAGACAACCAGATCTCTCCTCAGACAGAGCTTTAACTGGTTGGTCATATTCAATGTCTTGAAAACCAGACTCATGATGTTCTATCATAACTGAGCAGATTCCGAATTCTTTATCTATTGTGATGAATGGGTGTTCTCACAGGACAGCCCTGCGACTTGAGCACCTGTTGGAACTTAAAACACAACCCAGACCTCATGTAGAACTCGTACATACAATTCACCACTAAAAATGTGGGGAAAATGGAGTACTGCCTGTCTTCAATTTCTAGTTTCGATAGAGTCTAAAGTGTTTCCGTGCCCTCGCGGATGATTATTTTCCACTCTACAACCTCTTTCGCCACAGGTAAAATGTTGCAAGCCTCTCGCTGTTCTATTGCTATTTCCATGGAAGCCATCTGAACAAGATACATTCCTTAGTTTCACCAGTTCTAACCTTCATGGCAAATCTGTAGTGAACCACTCTCATTCCCTTCATATTCCATTGGTGAGATGTAAGTTCCACTCGAGCAGTTTCTTCCCATGGACTGCTGCTTTGTAGAACTTCCAAGAATATACTTCCTTGATCACTATAATCTTTCCCCATCACTCCCCTACATATCCCAATAAATTGTTCCTCTTACTCTGTAACCCTCGAGTGGCTCTTGAGTTTTATACAAGGTGAACATCATTGTAAAAAAAAAAAAAAAAAAAAAAAAGTAGCTGCTGGTGCACTATAATGCATATACCAGTACAAATCTTAATTGATCAGCTTTTTATAAAAATAGGCATGCACTTCTACGTTTTGCCTGCAAGAAAATTTGAAATAGCTTTACCCCTCAGGCATTCATTTCTCTGTGGCTAACAGGTTTTTTGTGGATGATTAGAATTATTTTTTTTTTTTCCATAAAATAAAGGCAAATACTTGTATTCAAAAAGAGTAAAAACAAATAGTCCGTCAAGTGCGCAAAATAACTTTGTCCAGTCATGAATATCAGAAAGGGACAAATAAAACAGTTTATATAAAGGTGTGGCAAAAGTAATGACTTTTTTTTTTTTTTTTGAGCTGAGGTAGATAGGACAACGTGGAGCAAATGAGTGACTGTCACAAGCACAAAACTTTCTTGTGAAGTGGACTGAAAGATCTTTCCAGCCTCAAATTAAAAACAATTTCTGAATTAAAACAAGCAATTTCTGTTAAATTTCCAGAAATTAATGTATAAATATGCTAAATAGTTTGTAAAAGTGTTGCATTAAGGGGGAACATTTTGAACAAATCTCTCCTTAGTCATTTTTGGGTGGGGGCAATAGACGAAAGACAAAAAAAAAAAAAAAACAGAAAAAACAAGAAGTCTTGTATTGCCTCAGTTTTTGTCCAAATACATTCTATGATTTTATTGAACAGAATTGTTTGACACACCAAACTAGAGCCCAGTCTACCCTGTTGTTTAACTTATAGCTCAAAGGAGGAAAGGGGATGAGGTTCATGCCTTTTGCAATGGCGTAAGTGCAAATGTAACTGACAGGGACTAGAATAGAATTTGAACAGTGATTGCTAATTCCACTTTCTGCAATGGTAACTATTATGCTACCCTCACATCGTACTTTGATGTTAAAAATGTTAATTCAATAGAAAATAGATGTTCAATAATCAATCATTTATTTGCTCACTAAGTCAGACAGATGTGCTTCAGAGACATAGAAAAAGCACCAAGAGAATTTTTCATGGATTGATTAAGAAAAAAAAAAAAATAAATAAATAAGGCAAGCCATCTGCCGGAAACCTTTTGATAGAGTTGCAGAATTATATGAACGCAACAAGGACAGAAACAAATTGTTTATAGAAACGAGGCAATGAGGCCCGTTTTACTATCAAGAATATTCCAAAATGTTGACATATGAGCCTCTCAACAACTGGTCAAGATCTGAATCTTTGTAAGATGCCACATGCTAATAAATGTAACAGGAAAACCAGTAGTCAGCAGCTGGCAAGACAGGGTGTCTTGTAAAGTCGGCCCCCATGAGCATTTTGTTTCTCAAGTTGCTGTGGTTGCAGTGTCATTTTCGTTACCTCCCATTTCTTTCCGGTCTTTGACCATTACCCTCTGTAATTGTTGGGAGAGAAATCGCTTAGGTTTTCTGTCCCTCGTCCAACCTCACTCTTTGCTTACAAGATTAGCACAATGTTATGCCTATTCACATCAGAAACAACTGATTCACCAAAAGGTTTCTTGTCAAGTCAAGATCCAGAGCTTTGATCATACTGTTGCGGGTTTCCCAGTGACTGGGATAGGCAGCAATCGGCTAGCTCTCACTCCCTCTTCCCAAGCATCCCTGTCAAGCAGGCTAATATGGGCTAGGCTGTACTCTCATACATTCCTCCCAAAGCAGTCCTTCCAGGTCTTCCTAGGTCTACCTTGATCTCTGTGACCAAGAACTCTGAATTCAGAGTAGCTTGTTGAACGTGACCAAACCATCTAAGACAACTGATGTGATATCCTCAATATCGAACCATGTTAACATTTTTTTTTTTTTTTTACATCCAATTGCAGATGGCATTGGTGAGGCACCATCACCATAAAGAAACATGGCAGATAGTTTGTACTGGGACTGGACAGTACTTTTGTAATTAACGGTAGGCCTAGCTAAGTCACTTGTTTCTATAGTACACAAAGTACAGTGATAAGGCTGGTATTCTTGGTGTACATATGAAACCTAACAGTTTGTATTATGTGGCTGGGATCGGGGTTTGTGGAGATATTCTACAGTATGCCTGGACAAGGGAAAGACTTACAGTACTGGTAGGAATCTGCCTACTAGTTATCAGTGACACTCAAGGGAGGAAAAAAAGAAAAAAAAAAAAAAAGAATTTACATACGGTATGATACTCACGCAATATATGGTACTTATTACATATGAATGATAATTGTAGGCTTATATTAAATGTCTGGGGGTTCATAATTGCTCATATCTTGGGACTAGGGGTTGTGTTGTTTGGCAAACTCCGACAACTTGACCTTTCAGTACTAAGACACAGGGTAATTTTTGAGGAAAAGTTTTTAGGAAAAAAAAAAAAAAAAAAAGGTCGGTGTCACACCTTTTCAACTTTACTTCTAGAAACTGTAGCACAACATATACCATTTTGGAATCAGGTCAACTGTGTGTGCAAATTAAAAAGATTCCGGGCCAGATCTGGACCTGCAATCGATCCCAGATTCTGCCCATATTGGTTTTTACAGATAAAGACAATTAAAAAGGAACAACTAACTTTTAATGGTTCATGTTCAATTGAAAAAAAATTATTGCTCTCAAATTACAGTGTTTCAAAATAAAATTGTCAAGCTTTTCAACTTAGGCTGTTGCCCAACATATGGCATTTTGGAATCAGGCCGACTCAATGAGAAAATTAAAAAGATTCCTGGTTAGATCTGGACTCATAATCCTGAA